CACAGATGTGTATAAACATTATTTTTTTAGTGCTACATCCTACGCCCTAATGAAGACCTACAAAGTGGGTCGAAACGTTGGCAAAAATTAAATAATTCTACTTATTTAATTTAGTATAAATTTGACCGCACCCCCCGATCAACTCCTTCTCATTATTTTTTTTAACATGGTATCGAGTTTTAACCTAATTACATAAGATTTATTTTTCTTTCTCTTTTTAATTATTTATTTTTCTTAGATATTTTTATTTTTATTTATGTATATTAAGAATGTTTTATTTATTTTTTGTAAATAGATTACATTTGAATAATTTAATTCGTAAAATTTAATTTTCTATTAGATCATAATTTTTTTTTTCACCATTCTAATTTTTTTTTTAATTGGAACCTGATAACAACTCATCTTTTGAAGAATCGGAGGAAGAGACCCGGTTCTCAGAAATAAGCGAAACTGACTCGCAATATATGAAAAGACGAACCCTACAAAAGCGCCACTGAAATTCTGTCCCCGGGTCCGGTGGCAATTCACCCAATAAAAAAAAAAAACAAGTCGGCCAAATAAAAATAAACACCTCCAGGCAAGAAATCAACGCCAAACACACCAGGTAATGCTTATACATCCGTAAAACTAGAACCAAACCCACTATCTACTTCAACCAGTAACTCAGTTACAGTCAACAACTCATCGAATAACAATCTGGAGCAAAAAGAATTTTCTGATCCAGAACCGCCACCTATTTTCGTCTCAAATATAAACAATTTTATGTCCTTCGGGCAAGAAATTTCAGATCTAATAGCTCAGCCAAATTTTCACTGCTTTTCGAGTGTTAGTGATTTAAAAATAAATACTAACTCCAGACAAAATTATAAAAAGTTATAGATCATCTGAAATCCAAAAATTACGATTTCCACAGCTATCAACTTAAACATGGAAAAGCATACAGGGTTGTCTTAAGAGCTCTGCATTCAACTACCTCTATAGCCGTCATCAAAAGTGGCCTTGAAGAAATATGACACAGCGTCAGAAATATATCATCTGTTCTGCACCCAAGGGAAAAATATCACCTACCCCTATTTTTTGTCGACCTTGAACCTGCCAAAAACAATACGGAAATTTGTCAAGTAAAACGATTGATATACTCTATTGTACGCTTTGAAGAAACACGACAAAAACCTATAATAGTGCAATGCACTGAATGTCAAAATCTAGGACACCATCAGGCCAGATGTATTAAATATGCAGGATCTCACACGTCTGAAACTTGCCAGAAACCAAGGCGAGAACCTGCGACATGTGCTTTTTGTGGTGAAGCTCACCCTGAGTGCTACAGAGGGAAGTGTACAAAAATCTCATTAAGCAAAGAACTCGTAACTTTGCGATGAAAAGCCTTATTTGATCTACGCAGGAAAACCGCACCGAAACTCCTGAAATGGAAAACAAAGACATTTTCCCAGCACATCCGAAATCATCGGGTCAACCCAGCCAACAACAACCTTCTAGCTCAACACAACACAACACCAGAACTTCTCATTTCCCAACTACGATCAAGAAACAGTAGACTCAACGTCAGGCGCCTCTGGCTTCTTAACCCAAGCCTAAATCCTCTAATCCTCAGTCTCAACCTACACTTTTGCAGGTCCCTCCTCATCATCTACCCTTAAGGGCCAAACTCCCCCCAGAGCGTCCACACCTAGTTCCATCCGAACCTAATCTGAAGACCCCTTATCCACAGAATTTGGATCCAACTCCTCGTACCTCGAGCACATCCCCCTTTCAACATTCCTAGCCGCACAAATCATCCACCGCAACCTTATGATCCAAATCCACTTCACAGCCACAACCCGACCGACATAACTTCGATTTTAACATCCTTTCTAATAGATCTTGAAGATACTATCAAACTGCTCATCACCCTTCTCACCACACTCGTTTCTGAAATCCAAAGCCCCTAGCTATCCTCTTATGGAACGATAATGGACTACAAAACCACCGTGACGAACTAGACATATCTCTTCACGACTATCTTATTGTCATTGCTCTCCTGACGGAAACTCACTTCACTCAACGATCAAACTTTTATATTTGTGACTAGATTACTTACAGATCAGAGCACCCAGACAACACTTCCCACGTCGGCTCTTGCATCCTTATCCATAAATCCTTATCCCATTCTCTAATTCCTTCCACTCCAACTGACACCATTCCACACAACCTCGGTAATCCTTTCAACTCGCCCTTTCCACCTCATTTTCTCAGCTGTATACTGTCCTCCTGGTAATTCTCTCTCTTATAACCTTCTTGATTCATTATTCCAATCCCTCGGACCGCGGTTTATTGCTGGAGGAGACTACAATGTAAAACACCAACGATGGGGTTGTCGAACATCCAACTCACGGGGTAACATGCTATCTCTCATCTCATCTTCCAATAGTTATTCTATCCTATCGCCCATGACTCCTAACTTTTTACCAACATCCCTCAAAAAACGCACTGATAGCCTGGACATATTTGTCACCTCCCAGTTTTCCTCTTCCCATGTCACAATCAAATTCCTGGATGACCTTTCTTCAGATCATAGTCCAGTTCTGCTTTCGTTACACTCAACCTTCGCTCCTAAGCCTTTCTTCCTACTTTGATTACAGGACGAGTAGACTGGGACAACTCTCGTTATGATTTGGAAAACAAACTGGACTTAAAAATTCCGCTTAAGACAATACAAAACATTGACAAAGCCATAGAAAAACTAAATATATCAATAGCAATCAGTATAAATGATAATACATCCACCAATAAAATCAAAAACATACGACATACTTACTTGTAACAACATATTCGAATCTTATTAAGGGAAAAACGCAGGGCAAGATGGAAGTGGCACAGGACCAGATATCCTACAGATAAAACTCACTATAACCAATTTACTAACAAACTAAAAGTAAAAATGTAAGTAAACGGAAATATTTAAAGAGGTGATAACAGACCTGAAGAGCTATTACAAATTTTATATAAACTATCGTATGTTTTTCGGCAGAAAAGCGGGAAATTTAAATTTTGTATTATTTTATTGTCGCGTTTTCTCTTGATTAGGAAGCGAAATTTATATAATATAGACAATTAACAATTACTTTATAGTATAATAGACAAACTTAAAATCAAACACAAACAGGGTATTAGGATTAAATATAATCAGTTGGTCGCCTGATACATTAAGGATCAATTCCCATAATAGAGATCAGTTGAACAAACAATGGTTCATAAACACCTCAAATCATAAATTTTTGTAAAAGCACTCTTTTTTTAAAAGAAAATTTTTATTTTTATAATTAATTTACCACAATACATACCAGGGAATACAGTCACAGGGAAAAAAGAATTTAAAACTTTTGATAATTTATCGTTGTTATTTTTACTGATAATACAGGTATTGGGGTGACAGTATACCAAGTAACTTAATAGTTAGTCCAAGTAATACAAGTTTCTTGTATTTAAGAAAAGGCAAAGTAGCGGTGGTTAAGGCACTTTCCGGTCCGAACACTCTTCTGAATTTGGCTCAAACAAAAGACTAAGGCAAGGAGATGCTTTGGCAAGCCTCCTGTTTAATTTGGTGTTGGAAAAAGCAGTGAGAGAAACAGGTATCCAGAATAGTGGATATCCAGATGATCTTGATATAGTGGCGCGATCCTCTACTGCGCCTGCTGAGTCTTTCTTAAGCGTACAGAAAGCTGCCGCATGCATGGGACTGGCTATTAATGAAAACATAACAAAATATATGTACACCGGTGGAGCCAGACTTCAAAAAATACAAGTTTGTTGAAGGAAGCTGTACCTTTGAGAGAGTGGAGGAGTTTATTAACCTTGGATCTCAGGTCACAGCAACAAATAATGTTTTCATTAAAATAAAGCGAAATATTACAGCGGCTAACCGATGATATTTTGGTCTGTTGAAAGAGCTCATTAGCAGAAAACCAAAGGTCCATTTATATAAAACTCTGATCAGGCCTGTCCTAATATACGCCTCCCAATTATCCACACAGGATAGAAATAATATCCTGGTCTTCGAGAGGAAGATTCTCCGAATAATGTATGGACCCGTGAGATATGAGGAATGCTGGAGAATAAGAAGAAATAAGAAACTCTATGAGCTGCTCCAGGATATAGATGTTGTGACCTTTATTAGGTAGGGATGCCTTGGGTGGGCATGGCATGTTGTACGAAATGTCTAAAAAAGTCATGGAAGAGAAAATCCATTGTCCAAGTAGAGTCGGACGGCCAAGCTCCGGTGGATGGATAGCGTGGTACAAGACCTGCTTGGAGTTCGAAATTGGAAGGCAGCAGCCCAAAACCGAGCCGAATGGGGGAGACTCGTAGAGGAGGCCAAGACCCATTGAACATTTTAAGTATACCTTCTTGCGAAGATGAGACATACAATGAAATAAACCACCTATAACAAGTAAAAGTGGAACAGTAATATTTTAAATTATTATTTATAAATATTTAAACAAAAACTGAAAATTTTAATTGAATTTACTGATATAAGTACTTATTTACATGAACATAATTTAGCGTTCCTGTTTAAATTTACAGTCACTTTAAAAGAGGAACATACGTAATAATTATACAACCTATATTATTTACCATTGTAAAAATTACTAAAAATAAACATATTTTCTTTTAACTTTTATAATAAAATTTAATTTATTGGAATGTATAATAATAGTTTTTGTTAATTTAAAAATATAAGAAAATTAAATTAACACTTCTGAAACCTGATTGGTGGATGGGAAAGGGGTGGGGAGGAGTAGGAAGGAGTGGGGAGGAGTAGGAAGGAGTGGGGAGAGTAGTACCGATCCTGCCAGCCAGGTATCACTCGATGCTAATTGCAGTTTCAGTTCACAATAACGTCCTGTATTGCTCTGTTCGACTATTGTAATTGTATATTCCATTTTCAAACCAGTCTGTACGGAGTTTTATCTATTTTCGAAATTTATTCTATGCGCACAATGATGAGTTCGGCACAATCCTCCTTGATGGAAACCTATACAGATTCAGAAGACGAAGAATATGTGAGCAAAGAAAGTATCGCCATAAGTTTACCAGTTCAAACGAAACAGCCTGAAGTACCAAAAACAAAAGGACCTTTATCACTAGTATCATACCAAGCAGAAGATGATGATACTATCACTTCTGACGATGAGCTCCATGATGAAGCAACGGCTTTAACTGTTACATCCGCTGCTACAGGTCACTCAAGTTCTGCTAATGCTTTGATTGACCCAATGTTTAAGGATGTGGATCTGCCACCAGAACCAACCGGAACATGTTCTAGCGATTTGACAAAAAAGATTGCAGAAATGACCGAATTAATGAATTTGAACGGTTGTGATATGAATCTAATCATTCAAAAAAGAAAAAGTTTTAGAAATCCCAGTATGTATGAGAAGCTTATAGAATACTGTAACATCAATGAATTTGGAACAAATTATGAGCGTCGTGTTTATGATCCAATGAAATGGGGTGAGAGTTCATATTACGATGAACTGGCCAAGGCTCAGAATGCACATATGAAACGAAGAGAAAAGAAGAAAAGAGGAGGGGCAAAAGTTCAATTTATAACGGGCACTGCTACGAATAGCTTTGCAGACACGAAAAAAAAATCGAAGAAAAGATAATCAAAAAATGATGTTTCAAGTTGCACCTTGCCGGATGAACAATGTTACTACAGTTACTTCTGATGGTATTGTATCTTTATAAAAAAAAAAACAAAGAGCTAGACAAATATACATTTTGCTCAGGATTTTTTAAAAAAATATTTGATACTTGTGCTTTATCTAAGTTCGTAATTTTGATGTAGCTGTTTTTTGTTTTCATGAGTTGGTTAAAATTTGTGATTTAGTGAACCTGGATTTCAATCACTAGAAATTTACATTTTTCTTGCAATTTACAGGGGAGTCACTTCTTGACATTGTTCGTATCTTTAGTTTATAATTTATGATATGGAATGAGTTTGATTGTAATTTTTCAAATATGTAGATTTATGTGTTATGTACTTTTTATAATTGGCAGTGTGAAGAATTAATTGTTAAAAATGTCTTCCGATATATCATTTTATGTGAGTCATATTCTTATGTGTTTTGAGAATTCATAATATGAACATATATTTTCTGTGATAATAACTATTTTGTAAAGTTCCATGAAAATATAATGAGATTTTTTTTAAAATACAGATATAGTTGCTTACTTTTTAATTTTTTATTCTTTATTTCCCTTTTTCCTTATCTTTATATTTTATAAAAGTTTCTTTTGAAGAAATTCATTAAGTGAAGATTTTTAAAAAGTTAAATCAAAAAGTACTTTGTAGAATTAACACAGAGCATTGTGCACTCACAATTAGTTTAACTATTCGATTTTTTATTTATTTATATATATATATATATATATATATATATATATATATATATATATATATATATATATATATATATAATAGAGTTTGGGTAATTTTGATGAACTTGGACTATTTTGTCATCAAATATTGATTATATATATTTATTTTATGAAAAAGCGACATTTAAAAAAAATCGTTATGGATAAAAACTGTAATTAATTAATTACAATATAGCACTAGCAACATAAAAGCACCAATTAAAACCTTGTAATCTTTTTTTTTTCTGAAAATATGCTACCTTCAGAAGAGAGGTTCTACTTACTATATTTATTTAACACCAATTAGCTAGTTTCTTTCTTATCACTTCCTCTTCAGCAAACAATATGACGTACTTAAAAAAAAAAAAAAACACGAAATTTTGATTTTATGATATTCTTTAGAGAATCGCTACAAGAAGGATTATATCAACTTAAATATTTCACATTATTTACGGGACTGTATACTTCATTAAACGTGGTTCTGCATCTTGGGTTCCCGTGCTTTACATCCTTTTTTCCGCTGACGTCCCTGCTCATTTCGATACCTTCCTTGCAACATTTGCTGATGACACCGCAATCCTATCATCTAACTCAGATCCTGAAATATCATCCTTAAATCTACAAAGGCACCTCTCCCTTATTGAGCACTGGTGTGATGAATGGCGCATTAAAGTTAATGAATCCAAATCCAAACACTTTACCTTCACTCTCCGACGCCATTCCATCTAGCTTCCTTACTCACAGTCCGGTATCTTGGCTTTCTCTTAGACCGAAGACTGACATGGAATCCACATACAAGACTCAAAAGACAAGAACTCAACCGACGATATGGCCAGCTATATACACTACTGAACAGAAAATCTCAACTTTCAATTGACAACAAACTACTGATCTACAAAACATTACTGAAACCTATTTGGACCTACGGACTGGAACTGTGGGGGACAGCAACATTTTCTAACATCAAACGCATTCAATCCTTTCAGTCCAAAGTCCTTCGAACAATAGTTGATGCTCCGTTCTATGTTACCAACCAAACCCTATACCATGAACTTAATATTCCATTTGTCCTAGACCTTATTCCTCAAAAATTTTCCAAATTCCACCAAAACCTTACATATCATCCAAATCCAATTGCACAATCCCTCTCTAGTACTATACATCCCTACAATCCTCCTCGAAGGTTGAAGCGGCAGTGGCCTTGAGAGTTGTTGTAAGAATATATTGGAGTTCTGGCAATGGCCTCTGAAGTATGTCTGGTTATAGTGTCTCTGCTCAGCCTCCATTGGTAATATCAGTGATGCGGCTGAGTGAAATACGCTGGGATCTCCTAGAGTTCCGCCTTTCCCTTCACGAGTGTGGGGAATGGCTTGGCTGGGAGATTTTCAGTGAATGAATATTGTAAATAATGTATAAAAGAATGTATGTTTTTAAGTATTTATTTTGTTAGATTAGTTTATTTTTGTTTAGTTTAGTATCTATTAGTTTATATACATTTACATTTAGTATTATTTTATTGCTGTTTATTACTTTTATTTATTGTGCATAGTATGAATGAGCTACACTTTATCACTATTACCATTGTCCTTGAATGTAAGAGATTGTAATATATCTCAATAAAGAAAAGTTTACAAACGTGGTTCAAATGCCCATATGGAAATTTGGACCATTAAATTATAATGTCTATTGTCATTTATCTATTTATTCAATTTTAATTTTTTTGGCTTTGTCTTATCTTAATATCTATGTTAATGGAATTGCGTTGATATATATGTGTGCGATTTAGTCTTATATTTCTAGCATTCGAATACTTTTTTTTTTTTGAAAATGTATGTGTTATAATGGTAATTGTTTATGTGGTATATTAGTGATAGTGTATCCAGCACTAGCGGATCCAGGATTTAACTTTGGGGGGGCTTCAGCCCGAAAGATTTTTTTTTCATATACATATAACGATAATTAATTTGAAAAAAAAAAGAAGAAATTAACTACCTATATGAAATGGTTAGTGTTGCCCAAACGCAAGACCAAGATGAGATCGAGGCGGTCTTGGTCTTGCGCACTTAGTCTTGGTCTTGCTCAAGAGTCTGGTAAGAGTATTGCAGTTAACTATCAGCTTATTGCCATTTATTTAAAAAAAAACGCTACAAAATAAGTACATTTAGATGTTTTATCGACATAAACATTGTAAAGTACAACTAAATCAATAAAATTAAGAATAAAGAAAGATAATGATAATCCTCCTCCATCCCTCTGATTATACAGAATGAAAGAGTTGTAGAGTAAAGACAATTTATATATTGTTCCCAATGCATAAATTAAAAATATATTGTGTCCACTTACAAAACTTTCCTGTATATAAAAAAAAAATTCAACATCAAATGTTTCTATTAGAAAAAAAAACAATTGAAATAGATTCATTTTCCTAAAAACCGACAGTGATATTATTAGGGTAAGATTCCTTGGATGAAACAAGCAATGTAAACGGGCAAGTGAACCACCATTAATAATAAAATCAACGTATAAAAAAACAATATATATTAATTTTTATTTTTTTTTAATTTATTTATTTAGATATATAATATTCTGTCTCGTGGACAATAACTATAGTGATAAATGAACACATTCACACCATATATACAGAAAATATAAAGTTAACAAAAGTAAAATAATAATAAAAAAGAACTATATACAATAAAAAAAATAAATTAAAATTAAGATAAGTAAATTAAAAACATAGAAACACAGTCATACCTTTTTTTTTTTTTTTTTTCTTCCCTACCTCGCCTTTTAGGCTATACGGGATTTTCCCGGGCCGGGGGGTGAGGGCGGGGAATTTAAAATCCCCTCCGGCACCGGGACGCGAACTCGTACTTTTTATATCATCTCAAATCTCTGTTATCCGGTTGCCAGGCAACTAGCGGTGCTGTTACACACGCTTTAGCCTATTCGGCCACCCCGCCCCCTACACACAGTCATACCTATATACAATACATACAATCAGGAAGGGAACCCAAAGCCAGGCTTCTCCCTCCAACTATAGAAGGAAAAGCAGGACTCTAAGATCCCTGCGCTACTCTCTCAACCGCGTCACTCGTATTAAAGCCAGTGGAGTTTGAGCAAGAGCGCTTTAGCCACATACACTCATGTCTTGAGTGGAGAATCTGGCTATTGCCAGAACTCCAAGATATATACTATAAAAGATCTCTGGGCCACTGCCGCTTCAACCTTCGAGGAGGGTTGTAGAAATGAGTGGATTTGGATTTGGATGATTGACAAGGTTTTGATGGAATTTGAAAAAAAATTCATGGATAAGGTCAAGGACAAATGGGATATTAAGGTCATGATGTAGTGTTTTGTTGGTTATATAGAATGGATCATCGACTATAGTTCGGAGAACTTTGGATTGAAATTATTGGATGCGTTTGATGTTAGAAAATTTTGCTGTTCCCCAAAGTTCAAGTCCGTAGGTCCAAATAGTTTTCAGGATTGTCTTGTACATCAGTAAATTATTGTCAATTGAAAGTTGAAATTTTCTAGTCAGTTGTCTGTATAATTGGTCGTATGGTCGGTTAAGTTCTTGTCTTTTAAGTTTAGTATGTGGGTTCCACGTTAGTCTTGGATCTAAGATAAAGCCAAGATACCGAACTGTGTCTGAAAAAGAAAGCTGGATGGAATTAAATTGGACTGATGGACAGGAACTGCGTTGGAGAGTGAAGGTAAAGTGTTTGGATTTGGATTCATTTACTTTGATGCACCATTTATTACACCAGTGCTCAATCGGGGAGAGGTATCTTTGCAGATTCAAAGATGCTATTTCGGGATCTGAGTTGGATGATAGGATGGCGGTGTCATCAGCAAATGTTGCCAGGAAGGTATTGGGATGGACAGGGATATCAGTGGTAAAACGGATATAAAGGACGGGGCCCAAGACGCTACCTTGAGGAACACCGGCTCCAACTGGGTAGGAATTGGAAAATTCTGTACCACAGCGAACTCGAAAGGTGCGATCAGAGAGGTAGGAGCGGAGGGTTAGGTATAAGGACTACGGAAGATGGGTTTTCAGCTTGGAAAGAAGCCCGGCGTGCCATACCCGGACGAAAGCTTGAGCTATGTCCAGAAATGCACCCGAGCAATAGTAATATATACTATAACAGCTAAAACTGGTCCGATTCAGATGATTTTTATGTCATCAATTTTGTCAGAAATTTAATGACCTTCCAAAAAATAGGCCTCAAAACAGGCT